TCACTCACTCACTCACCTGCAGGGCAATGCATAGTGGCTCGAATTGTGGAATCGGAGAGTCGAGTTCAAATTCCAGTCGAGTTCATTGCATTCACTTACGTGCTAATACCCTTGGGAAAGGTATGAATCCATCTCTTTCCCCTCCAGCTGTGGATTAAATAGCAGGACAGATTGGGTCCTATAGCCTTGGGTGACAAACAGTCTAGGAGATGGACAAATGTGAATTAAAAACCTGTGGAGGGTCTTTGCCATTATAATCAAGTGATATATGTGGGTAAGATCAGAACTGCTTGACCCTCATACATCAGAAAAAGACTGGAGGGTTTCTCTCTCTCTCTCTATATATATATATATATATAGACCCAGGTATAGGATTGGTGTATACAGAATAAATTCCAATAACCGAAAAATACTATTCTTAAGAGTGCCCTTATCAAGTTTTTGGAATTCTCATATACTTGTATTTTGATTGGTCATTGCAGCTTATGTAACAGCGTTTCCCCATTAAGGGGTGTTTGATTGATTTGAACTTTTAAAAACTTAAAACCCTTTATTATACATTCAACACCATCATTTGGTAAGACACTAGAAGTGTTGAAACAAAATGAATATTTTTGTAGTGATTTTATAACATATTTATGCTATAATTTTCAAATAAATTTTATATATATATATATCCACACACACACTTGTAGATAGGTGGAATCCATGTATACGAAATCTCATCTTTGATTTGAACAAAATCCCCAGTTAACCCAAATAGAATTTAAAAGTGATTTTTTTTAACGAAACTAAATTCTAAGAATTTTTTGTACTGCTCGTTTGTAAAAGATTTTCTTTGTGACTTTATAGAAATTCGAGTGGGATAAATCACCTCCCACCAGTCAATGTGTGAGTGTAAAAAAAAAATGTACTTAAATTCATATTAATGGTCTCCGAACTCCTTCAACTCACTAATTGTGGATTTTTTTTCCCCCAACAGGCTCTTTCATGTCCTCAAAGCATAATCATTTTTTTTTCATTCTCAATACTTTCTGACTGGTCGGCTGGTGAGGTGTGGGGGTAGCAAACAAAAAAAAAAAAATAATAAAACTTAAATTCTTCTCTATGCCCCCCTCCGGACATTTTTTTTTAATGCAGTCATATAAAGATTAATTCTTTCTTTCAGTAAACAAGAATTTAATTCCCTTGACTTGGACTAAGCACTCTTTTTTCTTTCTTTCTTTCTTTCCACCCAATTTTAGTGATTGAATATGTCATGAAGGTCGAAATGGTTTGGCCTCTTCAGTGTCAGAACAGTTTACGGATTACCATGCAGTTTTGGTGTTCTGCTTTTTAACTAGAAGAGACATCAAAGCTTTTAGATAATGTCTTGGAGTAGTTGACAGTTTCTTGGTCAGCATTTTTCTGCTGGAATTTGGCTATGTTGAAGTTTAAGTAGGTGAAGAATATGCTTTAGAAAGCCATCTTTTTGTCCTTAGATTTTGTTCCTCAAATGGTGGAACTTTTTTTTTTAAAGAATCCCATAAGAAGTAAAACCTATCATTAATTTATTTTTAATTTATTATTTTTTTTTTTTTTACTCCCCGAAAATCATACAAACACACAAATATACCTGACCATATTAACTTAGGATGCATCCCTTTAATTTAGTGTCTTCATTTTTAATTTAAAAATTTTAAATGCCAACAAGAATGCCGAATGTCTGAGTTAAAGTACATTTTTTTAAATAAATTCCCACAATTTAGGATTAAGTAAGAATTTAGTTATGTTAAAAGAAAGAATATAGTTTCCACAAAAAGCCATTTACAAGACTTGTATTAACCTAATCGCAACAAATTCCTTGTTTCCTGTTTAAAATTAGGTTTTCAGTTCTTTCTCTAAAATGTCTGCTTCAGCTCTAATACTCCTAACGCCTCTTTCCTACGCTAATATAAAGCCATACCCTAACTCTTTACTTCGAGTGGCTCTTGGGACTTGTATTGGGTGAACTGTTGTAAACAAAAAAATTAAAACTAAAAAACAACTGTCCCTAAACTATCAGATCTCTTCAATAATGCAGGCGGAAACAAAAAATCCAGGGAAAGAAAGTCCAATTCAGTTTTCATTTTTTTAAAAAAATTTCTCGTCTCCTTGAGAAAAGACACAGGCGTGTCCGAAAATTCTGATTTTTAAAATCTTATCGTTCCATTTGGTCAAAATCTTTATAATTATTTTTTTCTTTCACCGGACTATATCTACATTAATGAAAATTATTGAATCAGCTATGATATGATTCAATTGTAGCAATAAAAAGTAGGCTTTTATCACCTTTTATTTTATTTTATTTTTTTTTCATTATTATTATTATTATCATCATCATCATCATCATCATCATCATCATCATCCTACAGAAAAGAATAGGAAACGTTTATCAACGTTTCACTTTTATTAAAGCTTCATCAGAGACTGAGATATAAAGAAAATGAATTTCTTTCTTTTTCTCCATATTATCATATACAGTGTGTAATGAAATAGACTAAGTCCGACAGTTATTTTATTTTCTGTTTAAGTACAAATTATATTTCAAAATATCCGTTATTTTCTTTTATACACACTTTTTATCCTCTCGCCATTATTTTATTTTTATATTTTCCAATATCAAATAACCCTGCATTTTATTTTAACATATTTCCTATGTAAAAAAAAGTTCAGATATTTATTTTTAAATTTTAATAACTGTAAAAAAAAAAAATCATACGGTTAGTTAACCACAACGGTTGTTAGTAACTGGGTTACCATGGTAACGATCATTCCTTCCAGCTTAGTTGGGTCGTTTTTATCAGTAAAACTTATGTAAACTTATTCCAAATTTGATAATGTCAATTATCTTTTGTCTCTGTTCTTTTATTGTCCATTTTCCTTAATTTTTTTTTCTCAGATTCTTTTACACTTAGTACCCCCCCCCCGCGTCTTAGTGACTTTGTCACCTTGCTTGGGGTGAAATGATTAAAAAAATAAAATTTCTTTGTAAGTCTGACCATATTTCGGTACTTTTTTTTTTCTAAATGCTGTTACAGTACACATATATTAACAAAGAATAAATTACATTCAGTTTCTAAATATGTAGCCTAATATTGGCTACAGAATAATTAACCTAATGAATGAATAATACAGTTTTTTTTTTTTTTTTGTTATTTTTCAAGGCAGGAGAGGGCAGTAACAAAGAACAATTTACGCATCGTTAACAACTCAATAGAATTTTATATATAAATCTAGCCAGCCTTATCGTGCGTGTGTGATTTTTTGGAGGATCAGTTTCACTTCGATAACACGTGGCGCTTCAGTGGAAGGGAGATAACTCATTGGACTAAAACGAACTTAGTAACATAACAAGAGTAATGTCGGTACTATTTTAGTTTTACTCGAAGGATATTTTTTGTTTATATTCTAAAATAAAAATTTCGAGCAGATCATACCTTTTAGGGATCTTAGATGCGTATATCATTATTAAAGATAAATATTTAAAAAGAAAAAAACAACAACTGATCACCGTGACATCATTTGAAAAATGGGAACAGAATTTAAAAATGAATTCAAATTTATGGAAATAATTTAAACAAGTAAAACGATTTTTTTTAAATGAAGGCTCAACAAACGAAAAAATTCAAACATTGCCCTATTTTTCTACGATACCACAAGATTTGTTTTAGTTTTACTTTTTTAAAAATTCTATTCTCAATTAAAAATAAAATTAAAAAATAAACGTAGTGAGAGAGAGGATTTTTATTTTTTACGGTTTGTTAAACCTAAATTTAAAAAAAAAAATATTTTTGCTAGTTAAATAAATTATTTTAGTTAGTGTAAATTCTTTTTTTAAATAAGATTTTTTCCCTGTCTTTCATAATTTCTAATCACATTTTTTTAAATGACGTCAATACGTTCATCTTGGGACCACACGTTTATAAAAGTACCAGATAAAATTGATAGTTTTCACTATCAATTTCGTAATTTCCATTAATGTAAATTTTATGGCATTGATAAAAAAAAAAAAGTAATAATTTAAAATAAATTTTTTTTTTTTTTTTTTTTAAACTGCAGATTTTTTGGCTGATTTTTGTATCTCTTTCGTTGGTTCTTTTTTTTAAAATCCAAGACATACACCTTCGGAATCTGGTACTTGAATAAAAAGGAATTTATCACTGTGTTTTTTCTTTTGTCCTCGTCAACTCTACAGAATTTTCTCGGCTTTTTATTAACTTTTTTTTTTTTTTTTTAATCCCTCCAACGACCATCGAACCGTGTCAATTGTCCAATGTTGCTATGACCACAATTTTGGGCTTGTCACACGAACTGTTTTCAAAAGCAGTCCTATTTAAGTTGTGGGTGGAAAGCGGCCTTGGGCATTAGTCATATTTTTAATTAATATACTATATCCACTTTCAAGAATTATGGTAAATTTTTATGATTTATTTACATTTTTATAGTAAGGTTTTTATAAAAAAAATAGTTTTTACTTTTTACTTTTAGGATTTCGTCGAATGAAAATCGTCACAAAAACTTTTTCCAGTTTCTCATACTATCTTTATTAATACCGTGTAGTTGTAAAATTATACAAAATTATCGTTAACGTATCTAAATGGTTGGAGTAACGTTAGTTTTCTTTTAAGCTACGTTTTTCCACGAACGAAAATATTTTTCAAAAATTTGAAACGTCCATAAAAATGGACATGGCTAATTGTAGTGAAGTGTTCATAATGTTCATACTTTTTTTTTTTTTTAAACAAAATGCTTGAGAGAAAACTAAAAGGAAGTGAATTAAAAGAAACAGGTTCATAGTTTTAGTTGCAGGAGTGTTTTTCGTTTGTGACCGGTAATAAAGTCACGAAGAAAAAAGACAATTTTTTTAATTTACTCACATCAACCCATAACTGGTTAGAAACGAATTCTACTAGAATTCGAACTTGGCTCTCCATGAAGCCATTAGGCATCACATCAGGTGCACACCCAAGCCAATGCATTTGGTATTCCCAACGGTCACCCATCTAAGTACTGACCTGGATTAACATTGCTTAACTTCAGTGATTGGATGGGAACTGGTGTTTTCAACATTTGATTCACACACACACACATTCTCTCTCTCACTCACACACACACACACACACACACACACAAAAGAGAGAGAGAGAGAAGCAGTCATATATACCTATTATCCAGTTCACACTCCTCCCTGGTGTTTTGAACAGGAGTAGAGGTTTATCCTTCGTTTCCCATTCCTCCTAAAAAGTCTTTTCATTCTCTTTCACTCTTAGTAACTCTTTGCGTTGTAGTAGTATTATTGCCTTACTTGGGGTGAATTGATTAAAAAATATATATTTATTTGTGAGTGTTGACATTTTTCTATAGATACTGACAGGCTTCTGAAGTCTTTATACAGTAACTGTTTTAATTATTAGATTTGGACATGACTACAGGTGCACAAGGCGTGTTAAGCAGCTTGCATAATGCTACCCCTCCACTGCCATCATCTTGATCAGTTCTTTTATGACAATGCTATTTATCATAGCCAAAGTTCTATAGCCTGCAGGACAAGGGCTGGACTCGACCTATACTTTTTATTTTTCATTTCCCCCCTCTTCTTTGCTAGTTTCCTCACAACTTCTTTTGCCCTCTTTACTGTCTGTGTTTTCAAGCCACAATCTCCTGTAACCTTTGACATCATGGTGAATTTTTACAACAAAGACATTGTTTCTCTTAACTCTTATTTGCTTTCTCTTAAAAACTGCCCGTCTCGGACTTCCCCTGTTTCTGCTTTCTTTTACAACTATTAAAATGAATATTATTGCTTGTGTCTGCAACAGCTTTTAAAGTAAATATTTTAGACATTTTGAACAATTTACAAATACCAAATATAGACTAACTTTGAAGTTGAATGTTTTCCCATTGTTACGACGCAGGCTGACAAAAACAATCTTGTTATTTTGTAACAATTGTATCCTCTTTTCTTTTGCTTTAAGGCAATTTGCTTTGCAGTAGAAAAAGACACAAAGATTCTCATCACAAACAATAACAGCATTAATATAACAATAAAAAAATAACAGCATTAATCTAACAATATAAAAAAACAATAATAATAATAAAGCATAAAATTGATTAATTTAGATGCAGTTTAAGTTAGATATTGAACTTTAATGATTAAAGAAAGTATTTAATAATGAAAAAAGTGGGGGACTGTGGATAAATTCACAGATTTTGATAATTAGATCTTCGAGACCTTCATCCAGCGCCTTTTATTCTCCTAGTGGCAGATCAAGATATAAGTGATAAAAAGGGGAGGTAATCGAAAGATTAAACAAATGGCTACCTTTGTCTCCTTGGAATTTGGGAAAGGGGGAAAAAAACCTAGAAAAAATTAAAAAAAAGAGAAAAAAAAAAGAGAAAGAAAGAAACATGTCCTGACTGATTTTGTCTTGTTACATTTTCTTTCAAACTGTACCCAATTTTATTGTCCATCTGTCTTTGTACTGTGACATTGAATTAGGTTATATCTTTATTTTCGTCTGCATGTTTTAATGTCTGTCTGTTATTGTATCATTATGTTAATTTTCTTATGATGATTATTATTTGTCAACTGACTTCCTTTGGATGTTTGCGTTAATGTGATGAGAGCCGAAATAGTACTGTCAAGATTTAGTTTATTTACTTCATTAAAGTCGCTATTTAACTGTATTATTAAAAAGAAAGTCACTTTCATTTTCCTTTTATTGATATTGTGATATTTTTAGAATTACTGAAAACTAGTTTGGCACAAGGTCATGAGTGTAAGAGCAACAAAAGAGTAAAAGTAATGATATATAAGGTTAAATGGCATATGTGACTTTGTTTAGGATAAATTGGTATTTTGTCAACATACACTGTATGGCATATCATGATAAAATGTGATTTTATTTACCTGACCCTCTTTCACTAAGGTAGGATGTAGCGTAAGGTCATTTTTATGTCAGGTATCCAGATGTGAATATATGGGCCAAAGACAATGATTGAACAGTTTCTATGACTATTCTCATGTTGGCTATGATATTATATGAATTCCGCCTCTTTTAGTGCAGTAATTGATTTGCAAGTTAATTAATGTCAGAAAATATTGATTGTAAGAATTTTTTTTGAAATAATAATGGTTTAGTGAACCAAATCTTACTAATTAACCCATGGCTGGTGGGGAAAGAGGTGGATTCATACCTTTCCTGAGAGTTTTTACGCGCAAGTAAATATAACAAACCCAACTGAAATTGGAACTTTGCTCTCCAATTAACAATTCCAAGCCATTATCCATGACACCACCTGCACATCCAAGCTTACAACCCACTTCGGTGAATGCACAGTGACCAATGCTTCAATATGATGCAGCTGTAAACCCCGTCAATTCTGTGTATAAATAAACGTTACCAAATAAAATTTCAGAAATTACCTTGATAAAGTTTCTCAATGAATACAGCATGTAGACATAAGTTCCACTTGTCTTTTATTTGTACATATGTGTGTATATAGGCACAGTGGAGTAATTGATAGACGCTTGGATTGAGGAATCAGATAGCTGAGTTCGAATTCCAGTCGAATCCATTACATTCACTTATGTACTAATACTCTTGGGAAAGGTATAAATCCTATTCTTCTCCCTCCAAGCTACTGGTAAATAGTAGGACAGACCAGGTTCTATAGCCTTGGATAGCAACTGGTCTATGACAGAAAGAAATGGCAACCTACTGCGGGGGAAAAAATCTACCTCGTCAGTCATGTATCAAAAGATTGCCTAAGTGTGTATCACGCATGGCACATAACTGAGTAAAAGTTATAAGCCTTTTTGGCATAATATAACATCCAAGTGTTGTTAAGAACAAAACAAAACCAACGCAACTTCCTTTTGGGGTTACAGGTAAGGATAGGAGATAGATAGTTTCAGATTTTTCAGTTTCACATTAAAAACTGAAATGAAGAATAACATTTTAAATGAAGATAATAATAAATCTTTTAATTAACTGCAAGTTCTTGTATAGTTAATGTTATTTTAACCATCTTATATTGAATTGATATGTGCAAAAAGTCTGCTAATAACTCATTTTTTTTCTTTTTCTTGTTCCATTTCAGAACCATCAAAGTTTTTATGTGGCACGTGCAAAACTACCGTAAACTCTGCCTGGTCCCTTGTGCAACACGTGCAAAGCACTCATGGTATGAAAATCTACTTACCAGCGCCAGACCTCTCGGCCCAAATTTCTAATTTATCCACACCCTCTCCCAAGGCGCCCTCAGACCATGTAATGACCCCACCAGCTCCCAATGCAGCTGACGGGCTGCCTCATCCTCCTCATCCCTTCATGTTCCGTATGCCTTTTGACCGGCAACATCAAATGCCACCTGCGCCAACACTTAGCCCTTTTAACCGTCCCCCCACGGGTCCGGAATTTCGCTTGGATTTAATGAATGATCCATTTCATTCGAGAAATGTCCAAGGCCTTTCAAATCTTTCATCCGCATTCGATGTGCCAGCACCTTTTCCTACACCGTTTAATGACCGGCCTCGAATAATGGAAACTATAGACTTTTACTCGCAGCGTCTTCGTCAGTTGGCATCCACTCAGACACCTCCCTTACGGAAGCCAACACCCCCTTTTTCACAGCCTTCTTCAACATTCACATCGATAACACCAACTCCATCGCATTCACAAGAACCCTTACCGAAGAACTTAAGCCCTGCAAGTAAGTTGAAATCATGTGAGTTTTGTGGAAAGTGTTTTCGGTTTCAAAGTAATCTTATTGTCCATCGAAGATCTCACACTGGCGAAAAACCCTTTAAGTGTCCTCTATGTCCACATGCATGTACGCAAGCTAGTAAGCTGAAACGGCACATGAAAACCCATATGAACAAGTCTCCTTTGAGTAGCATGTCGCAAACTTCAAACATATCTAATGCCTCTGAGGGGAGTCTTCCTTCTAGTAGTAGTACCCCAGACTCAAACAAACACTTGATAAAACACGACGATTCTAATATTGATCTAGACAACGAAGAAGAAAATGACGACGAGGAGGAGGAAGAGATGGAAGAGGAGCTTGAAGATGAGGAGGATCTGGAGGGAATTGACGAGGTACACAACGGATCTCCTAATCCGATCGATTGTCACGTGGAGAAAAACTCTGAGATATCATCTCGGCTCCAGGACCGCAGGACCCCCAACGAAAGGACAAGCACAGTAGGTGAAAAGTCTTCCTTGCTCAGTGAAGTGATGGAAAACACGGGCTTGAACAACATTCAACAGTATAACGAGGCATTCCAGCAGGCCCTGGCGGAAAATATACAAAACAAGGACACGAAAACGGAGGAAAATTGTTCTGAGGGCACAGAGAACGGTGACAGAGATATCAAATCTGAAGAGACAGACATGTTGTATTCTAGTCAGGAAAAACCTGAAGCGTTGGACTGCACTGACTCTCCGTATACAAAGCAAATCAAAAGTGAGCCCCCGGAACCAACGTTAAACAGTATGGAATCAATCTATTCTAATATGTGGATCCCAAGCTCACATCACCAAGATTACTTCCTATCAGGATTATCGTCGAGGCTTCAGGATCCCAACCACAACAATTTTAGTTCTCCATCGAAAAGTGCCTTGAAATCTAATCTTTCATCTCACCCCAAAGCCGGAACCAGTTCTAATACAGCTGCCAGTAATGGTGGCCCCATCTCTAATCGGAAAGACCGCAGAAATGATACCTGTGAATTTTGTGGGAAGGTTTTTAAGAATTGTAGCAATCTTACTGTACACCGACGAAGCCATACAGGTGAGAAACCATACAAATGTGAACTTTGTAGCTATGCTTGTGCACAATCGAGTAAGCTCACCAGACACATGAAGACACATGGCCGTATTGGTAAAGATGTCTATAGGTGTAAGTTTTGCAGTATGCCATTCTCAGTACCAAGCACTTTGGAAAAACACATGCGAAAATGTGTGGAAAATCGTCAGGTGAGAGGAGTTCAGGAAACAGACACTGATACTAACAGCACAACTACATCTACAATATAAATGCATTTTTTTCTTTTTCTTTTTCTTTTTAACAAAAAAAAACAAAACAAAAAAAAAGGAAGAGAAATTTTATAATTTCCCCTGCTTATGAGGAGAAACAAAAAAAATAAATGACTAATTTCACCGGTTGTTATTTGATAGGAAAATTACAATTAAACCTGTTTTTGTTTTTTTTTTTTGGTTTTTTTTTTTTTTTTTTGGTTTTTTTTTCTCTCCCCTCCCTTCCCTCCTCCATCTCCAATTCCACTTTTTTTTTCTTTTTTTTTTCTTGGCGTGATTATTATCAATTATTATTAGGTAATTTATAAATCATAGTATAGGAGAAGCTTGAATTTGTTATGAAATATCATAAACTCTTAATATTTAATTAAAAAGGGCCCAAAATATTAAAAATCACATAACTAGATATAGAAAGAGACGTAAAGCTGTTTTTGTCTCTGCAGTTACTAAAGAAAAAAATGCTATTTTTAGGTACATTTTTTAAAAATATTTCTATTATATTCAATTTTGTTTTGAGGATATTTTAATATTTTTCTTCACAATTAATTTAAACTATTTTTAACAGCATTAATAATCTTTTTAAAAGGTTATAAATTTTTCTGCACCATGAGTGGAAAATTATGGAAAAATTATATATTATAAAAAAATTAAATGAAGGCAGTTTAAGCTAATTTTTTTCTTTTTTTTTTTGGCCTTTATTAAATTTTTATGCTATTTTATAACCAAAGAATATTAATGCGTTTTTTTTTTATGTAGAGAATATTTAAATTATTAGAAGGAAGATAAACAAAAATCATAATTTCTTTTCTTTTATTTTTTAAACAGTCTTTTCTTTATTCTTTTAATAACAAATTACCAAACACATTTCATTTTAAGTTTTGGATTATTTTAAGTTTAAAAAGAAATTGTTATCTATATTTATATCTATATCTATCAATTTTTTTATATATATATATATATATATATATATATATATATATATATATAAAATTTAGGGAGAAAAAAAAAAAATGATCAAGTGGTTTCCCTAAAATTGTTCTTCATATAAAAACAAAAGAAAATGTTTATATATCGTTTTTCCCATAAAATTTATTTTTTAAACTTTTTTTTTTTTTTTTATATACAAATGGCGATATAAATTAGGGGTAAGCTAATTTAAAAATGATATATTTATCCTCCCCTCCACCTTACAGATGAGTGACTTATACGAAAGGAAAACCTAATACAGAAGAAAATCTTCTAATATTAAATCCTATGTTTTCATATTGATAAGGATATTAAAAAAATAACAAAGCATATAATGATTGTGTATATGTGTATACACACACATTTTTTTTTATTTGCATTACTTATGCTATACGTAAGTAAAATCTGAGTTATTAAGTAATATCTGTCATTCAATATTATTTCCACCCCTACCCACAAAAATACACAGATTACTTGAAGAGAAATCATAATAATTCCTAATTTGTTAACAGGATTAAAATAACTGGTTTACAATATAAAAGCTCCTTTGTGGCAAAAACAAAACAAGAAAAACAAAAACTGTGGAAAAAATAAAAATGTGTTTTTAACTTCTAATATATAAATAATTAAATGAAATTTCGTCAACGAAGGCAGTGCACTATTCAAATTACTGTTGTCTTTGAAACGGGGTCTAATATTTTATTTTACCTTTTCTGTTTCTCACCCTTTGAACTTTACAATTTAGAGCTATCATTTAACTATCCAAAAATATTTGAACAATTCGAAAATACGTACCCACCCCCAACTTTCAATCCCTTACTGCACCCGACCCTTACAAACTGCTAAGGATTTTAAAATTTGGGGCCGAGGAAATGAAAATAATTAATGAAAAAAAAATTAATGAACAATAAATTACAAACTCTAATCACTGAAATATATTCAAAACTAAAAGGAATTATACATGTATGAACTGTTAAAAGTTATGTTTTATTTTTAAAATATCAAAAAGAAAAACAGCAAATTACATATATTATCATACACACAAATATATATATATATATATATATATATATATATATATGAGAAGATGTTTTCCACTTTTATTTAATAGAAATTTTATAATGGGGGCTGAGGTAATGTAGAAGTTTTCCTCACTTAGTACCTCCTAAAAATGGTACTTATAAAGCCTCCATAACAGAGATATTTTCTAATATATGCATGAGAGAGAGAGAGAGAGTGTATGTATGTATGTATGTGTGTGTGTATATATATATATATATATATATACACACACATACAAACAAACATGTATACATATATGTGCAGGCCCCAGCACCCACACACTTATATGCACACACAAAAAAAGAACCTTCTAATAGTGTAAAAGACTGTTGAAAGCTCTCAGCCTTTGGGAAAAAAAATCCTCAGAGAGCAGTCTGAAAGTATGATAAAAGATTACTATTATTAGAAATTTTGCTTAGTTACATTCAATGAAATATGCATAGATTTACACTCATGCATAGACATATATTTAGATGTGCGTGTACACACACACGCGCACACACACCATGACTAAATAGATAAAAAAGGGATTACTCACTTTGTTGATGTCTGTTTGTTGTGTTTGCTGCTTTGTTTTTTTCCCTAACTCATATTTCAAATATCTTTTTTTAATTGGTGCGTATTTCCGAAATGTCAATAAGCTTCTCTGTTAAAAATTTTTTTTTTTTCTTTTTTCTTTTTTATTTTTTCTTTTTCATTTTTTTTTTTTTTTTTTTTTTTTACACTCACTTTTACCCCTTCCCCCTTCACAATGTAATTGATGAGTAAAAGAAGAAAAATACAAAAAAAAAATGATTATGTTGTTGTCTATTTTTGTCTATTATGATACCGGGAAAAAAAATTAAAAATTTTGATAGAAAAAATTTTTTTAATAAAAAGAGGAAAAAAAAAAAAAAAAAAAAAGATTTAAATCATGCCCTCACCACCTCCCTTCCCTTGCTCTAAAAAAAAAAATCCCCTGAAATTGTGTTGTTAATATTCTTAAGATAACAAAATTTAACCTTTTTAAATTTTTTTTTTTTTTTTTTTTTTTTTTTTTTTCTTGAATAATTTTTAATTTAAATTTTTTAACTCTTACACATTCTTCCTTAACCGACACATTTTCTTTCTTCCTGGCTCTTTTGCTATGATGGCAAAATTGACCAATTCATTAAAATGATTAGTGATTGGTTCTTTTTTATAATTGTCATCAATAGATGTACACTTCTTTGTACCTCCTCTCAAATCAATTTTCAAATCAATGGAAGTAGTCAAATTTCATAAACTTTGGAGAAAAAAAAATAAACTGTAAACTTTATATTTTAAGACCATTGTTTGGTTTTTTTTTTTTTTTTTGCTTTATTTTGGTCAAATGAAGAAAAACAAAAAACAAAAAAAAACATTACATCAAGAGAGATTTTTGAATACAGCCAAATGTTTTTTTATAAATTAGCATGTTTGTTGATCTTAGTTTTAATAACAATGATGGCCAATCAAAATCCCAGAATACGATATCAAAATACTGAATGGTATTCATCTGTTACCATTTTGAGTCTGTTTCCCTCTAATATTGGAAAAAAAAAGGACTATATATATTTATGTGAAAAGCAGACCCTTGTTAATGAGTTGTGCCTGTAGCTATCAGGCTTATTACAAAGTTAAAGCCTGTCTTTAAAAATCAGAAATTTGACCTTTCATATTTGACCTTTCATATAAAATAATACAGAGAACTGTAGCTTTTTTTGTTTTGTTTTTTTTTTCTTAAATTGTGACAGAAATACACCTTCCTGGTCAGAGAGATCAAAATCTTTTTCTTTCCCCTTCTTTTTCCTTCTTTTTTCTTCTTTTCCTTTTCTCTTTTTCTTTTCCTTCTCTTTTTCATTTTACTCTTCTCTTTTTCTTTTCCTCTCCTCTTTTTCATTTTCCCTCCTCTTTTTCATTTTCCCTCCTCTTTTTCATTTCTTTTTTAAATGCCATCAAATATGTCAATTTATTTTCTCTCTCTTTCTCTCTCTCTCCTCTTTTCCAATATTTGTGAATATAGGAGAAAAACATAATTATGGAAAAAAAAAACAAAAACAAAACCCCCTCCCCACAATTATCAGTTACAATTTTTTTTTTTTTCTTCCCTTCCCAACGAATTACCCGGCAACAATTAGTGTTGGTCAGTTTTTGAGCTTTCTGGAGAGATAAAGGTATTCAACTACATATGTAAATAAACCATACGCTGAACACTGCCATTGGCTAATATAAAAAGGGGAGTGGGGGGGAAATAAGAAAAATGGGGTGCCTCGTTTGTATTGGTGCCAATGTTTCAAAGAGAGGAGACAAAAGATGTAAAAAAAGATGTAAAAAAAAAAAGATGTAAAAAAAAAAGATGTAAAAAAACAAAAAAAAGAACAAAGAAATTTGGTGTTAAATTTTACCAAAGTCAAGGTATTTTTTAGTCATTGTTTTCTTATATATGCATAAAGCGTGTATGCAGAGAAGATGCATCTGCTACACGGGGGTGTGGGGGGGATGCTGACTGGAGTGAAATACATCTTTAGGATTTACTGTTTACCACACTGGCTAATAACTTTGAGAAGGACTTCCTTGCCCCACCCACCAAAAAAAAAAAAAAAAAAAAAATTTTAAAATTGAACTTCCTAGCCCCCCCTCCCAACCTCAAAAAAAAAAAGGAAAAAGGTGAGAACAGAAAATTTAATGTAACGTTATGCATACATCTATTAATATCAATATGTATGCATATACACATCAACACACACACACACACACACGTGCGTTTATATTTGTAAATTTCTATATGAATTTTTTTTTTTTTATTATATGCATGCACTTATATATCCCTAGAGGTATATACACTGAAGTAAATGTGTATACACCCTGAAGTATGTGTGTATACACCCTGAAGTATATGTATACATAATGATCACCAATAACCTGAATGCCATGTATATGTGCACACATTAGAATGGGTATGTAAATGTGTGTTAATATATTTCATGGGTGTTTATTCCCTGCCTCCCTGTATCCCTCTTTCTTTTGTGCTTCAATGTTTGTATGCAGCGTGAGACCCACTTAGATATACCAAAAACATGACTATATAAATTGGAGTATGTACATCAGTTATATATATATATATATATATATATATATATATATATATATATATATATTTGTGTGTTTGTTTATAAGTGCATGCGTGTGTGTATGTGTGTGTGTGTATATATATATTAATATGTACAAGTTCCTAACCCCCCCTCACCAGGTGTTTCACACCATTATACATTTTCTAATAATGCTCAAAAGGTTTTTTTTTTTTTGTTTTTTAATTTATTTTTGGGAAGGAGACAGAGGAGATTATCAGTAGGTTGAGAGACAGAGAGAGAAAGTAGAAAGAAGATGATTAATAATAATATATTTTATCTTGAATCTAAAAGAAAAATAACTTCCATTTTTAGTTATCGTGAACTGAAAAAGATTGATCAGTCTTTTTTTTTGTTTTTTTATTCCTTTAGAAAATTTTATTCCTTTAGAAAAGCAGAGAGAGAGAGAGAGTGAGAAAGAGTGATGTTTAAAAAGAAAAAAAAAAAAAAAAATCAAAGTTATTCCCAAAATTTAAAAAAAAATATTTCTTACCTGAAAACAATTTCTAATTCAAATTTTTTTAAATTTTTTTTTTTTTTTTTTTTTTTTTTTTTTTTTTTTCTTTTTTTGTTCTCAGTATTTCATTAACTGCCACGGAGTTAAAGTTTGGATCAAATTCTAAGCAACAAGATCATAAAGTATTTTTCTAAAATATTCAGTTTGCATCGATACCAATTCCACCTATATACATCTGGGTGCAAATAAAGAGAGGCAAACCAAATCATTGTTACACATATGTAGATATGTGCTTTTTTTTTTTATTTATATGTGTATGTAACAGTTGTTATATGCACGAGTACATATATTTGCAATTACTGCACTTATATATATATATATATATATATATATATATGTTTATCATACATGATACCATAGGTATATAATCAATTCTGCATATTTATTTTGCATATATAATGTATATTTTTCAGTATACATATGTTATGCAGATGTTTGAGTGAGTCATTCATAATTGCTCACTTACAGATGTATGAGAATTGTATTTAAAAAAACATGGATATCATATGCAATAGCATATTTTAAAACTTATATGTATGTGCAAGATCAAAAATATATGTGTACATTATATATATATATATATATATGTACATATCTACAATTATGCAGGTGCTAATGAAAAACAAAATTGATGAGAAAGAGAGTGAGAGAGAAAAAATAGTGTGTGTTTTACACACTGAAATATTTCCTAAGGCAGCTAGTTCGTTTATATGCATGTGTTTATATATATATATATATATATATATATATATATATATATATATAATGTGAAATAAACACATTGAAATAATGTCAAAGGCTGGAAAACAAATGTTTACTATATTTCTCAACATACAATGTGTACCCTTATTTTGAAAGAGTTTAAAAAAAAAATTTAAAAAATACAATCTATGAGCTGTACTTTCAGTATAAAATGTGCAATTTTTTTTTTTTTTTGTTTCATATAAATATTACACAATTCCGCATTATGTGCTTGAAAATACAGCATTGAAAGGACTTTTTTCTTCATAAAAAATGCTGATTCAAAAACAATTTTTTTTTAAAATGTGAAAACAAAACCACACAAACTTCATTATGTCTAAAACATTAGAATAAAAAGATTTTTATATCTTTTTATTATTAGGTTAGTATTATTTTCATATGAATTCAAATTCTTTTCTTCTTTCCGCTCGTTATATACAGGATGATATAATATTTAACATTAGAATTAATGTGCAATATCCAATTATAGTATTTGTTTGATAAACTGAAAACCACTTCTTCATTTTCACCTGTCTCTTTACGTCTTGTTTAAATAGGTACAAATGCATTTTTTCTTTTATGTATTCTATGTAACACACAATATAGAAAATTAATTAATTTGGGAGAGGTATTTTCAAATATTTTTAAAATCCCCACCCACCCTAAAATAAAACACAAAAAAAAAAAAATAATAAAACTAAATTAAAAAAACAAAAAAAAAAAATTTGAACCTTAAATTATTTTATTTAAATTTTGACATTGACTTTCTACAGCACATTTTTTTATGTTCACTACAATTCTTATTATCCTTTCTTTACATATAACCAAAGAATGCTGTGTAGCACTCACTATTTTCCATAACATCTTAACCAAAAATTGTCAAGGCTAAAAATTAATCCCTTATTTTTATTTGGAATCATATCTTTAATATTACAAGTATCATTAATAGTAATTAAAATGCAATTACTGTATTGAAAGGGGTCTCATAATAAAATCATCTTCTTTTGCAAGCAAAATCAATGAATTATCAATATTTTTTTAATTGATTTTCCCACCAGAATCACAAAATTGAACCTTGTTTTAAACGAGTAACAGTTTAAAATATTTGTTTGCATTTTAAATCCTCATGATTTTTTTCCTAATCACTTTTTTCTTGAAGTCCTGCTGTCTTTTGAACCAGACGGAGATGTGACTATTTGATCCTGATCCATTGTACTGGTTCAAAAATGTCTTAGCAGAATTGAAGACAGACAAATTTCCTGGATGCCTTCTAAATCCATCTTTCATAAAAAAAAAAAAACAAACAAAAAAAAATCAAAATTATCCAACGAATGTGCCACTTGAAATGCACACAAATTCTTCACTAATCGGTCAGTCATCAAACTCTGCAGAAAGAGGAAAATGTTTTTTTTTTTTTTGTTTTTTTTTTTCACAGTTCGTATATAAAAAAATATCAGAAAAAACCAATAAGACAATATGCGTAATTGTCAATATTGTTAACTTTCATCCAGAATAATAGGCACGTTTCTTTTGGATCAAAACAACATCCATCTCTAAACAATCGTTGGTTTTATTATGTGGCACCCCATTCGATATGCAACTTGAAGTTCTTATAAATCTTTGTTTCATTATTACAAGCACGTGAGTATTTTAACTTAGAATGAGCACCAGCTTAGATAATGATCTTGGCACGGCTTTTTTAAAACAAGTTTATAGCATTTAAATTAGGTGTGACTTAGTGTTAGTAATATTATTGGTTGTATTGGCTTATCATGACCTGTATTCAATAATTTACACTACACAGCAACTTTCAACCAATTAGTTCTTGGGTTACTAGGTTGTGATATATTTAAGTGAAAAAAAAAAAGAAAAAATCTCTCCCAGAACTAATGTTACGTTATTCAGATTGTGCATTTGCAAATATTACCTGTAACATCTCTATACTGTTTTGGAAGATAACACAGACTACATCACCTATTCTTTTTATAAATGTTATCATCTTGAGTAGATTTTTCATATAAAAGTCTATTTTAAGAAAAGTCTTTCATGATTTTTTACTTGTTGGTATAAGCGCTTAATACATTGTAAGGAAATGCTAAGTAAAGATGTAAAACCTATTTTTTTTTATATATGAAGTATTAAATAAGAATGCCAACCTTTTTATTTTAAGTTTTTAAAAAAGTGTTCTGAAAGAAAAAAAAAATACATAGATTTCAATCATTGCTCAAGGAACTGACTATGCAAGACTTGCCATAAAATTTATTTCCCTCAGGAGTTTACGAAATATAATTAATTATAACAAATGATTCCAACCACTTTCCTCATGCTGTTCGAAAAAAATTGTTAATGTATAAAATCTATATCATACAAATATGGCAGAATTGTGCTATTTTTTTTTTCAAAAATCTTGAAAGATTATTCCTGAAAAATTATTGGTCAGCAAAGGCTATCATAGAAAGATCAATTTAATCAGATTCAAAAATATTTATGATGCTTCAATAAATGACTACACAGCAGAATTTTTTTCAATATATTGTTTTTTTTTTTTGTTTTTTTTTTTTTTTTTAGTATAAATTCATTATTACTCAGGAAAAAAAAGTGGTTTCAATTCCTCTCTTCAGGAACCTTATT